GAGCTTGTTTCTTCTCATATGATGGATTGTAGGGTATTATCTATGCAATTGATGTCACAGCGATTTACGCAAGGAATTGATGCTACTGAAGAAAGCATGCAGTCAGCTTTGGAATCTATAAATGCCCGACTGAATGCTCCGCATCAGATTAAGGTGAGTGGTGACCAAGCGCCCTGAAGTACCGGAAAAAAATTTTGGTTACAGGAACGTATTGCTGAGATCTCGGAAACGCTACGAGTCGAAGACACCAACCTGAGGAATTCGTTATCAAAGGACACGGGTTTCATAGACGAGGCCGATGCACTGAACTTGAAAAAATACCTGGATAGGTGCCAAGATGGTTTGGAAAGCCTCGTTGCTGTATTGAACTCTAATTTGGAGGATATACAGTTAATGGCAGCTGCTGTGGATGCCTGATGACCTACGGCATCATACGCAGTCGGTTTTCTAATTTTTGCGGTATTTTTCTTATTTTCTACTCGTAATTTGACTCCTTCTATTGAATTTGAATTTATAGAAATTTTGTGGAGGTGCTTTTCTAACAAAGTAACGTTTTTTCTCATTCACTAAGCTCCAGAGTGACTTAGCTTATTGTTTTTAGGATCTGTTCTTCTTCTTTTTAGGATCCGAATTCAATAATTTTGGAGCAAAACTGGTTTGTTTTCCGTGTACTTGTTGATCTTGCATTTCTCAATTCCGTTGCACTTTGTGTTAATTAGCTTTGAAAGTGTTTTTGACGTTGTTTTATATTCCTTTTTTAATAAATTATATGGTACACTGACATCATCTATCTGCTCCTGAGTCTGCTGCTCCATATTGCTGATGTCATCGTTAACTGCTCTTTGCAGAGGTACGGAAGTAATTTGCTATTCAGACAATGACGTTAGATGACGATGGACGAAAAGCAGAGAAAAGAGCTAGATCTGAAGCTCAACGACTTGAAAGCATCCGTGCGAAAAAGGAACTCGAAAAACAACGGCAAGCAATAATGTCTAAGGCTTTGCGAGAAGTCGACCAAAAAAGTAAACGAGTCGTGTTTGAGGATAGTGACGAGGAGGAGGTGGGTGTGGTTTACATTATAGTTTTCATTTTGTTGCTGCTTTCGTACGAATGTCCTTGTAATTCAGTGGTTTACCTTACCTTCTCTAGTTCATCAATTCTTAAGAAAGAAGTGAATTGATGAGGAGGTCGTAAACTCACGATTTTCAAAATGATTGGCAAAAATAGGCTGACACGTGGAAGATTCTTTCTGACTCGGCTCACCATCTTTCTGGAATTCTTTTTTTTCTAAAAA